AGTTACGTAAAATTGTAGATTTGGTTTATCCCGTACGGAGTCAACGTACCAAATCTTGTTATCAATTTATTCTCCTTATAGATCCTATCCGGTGTGATACCAGTATACAGGATATCAGTAACTGCGATGGCTAACATTCTAGTAGTGCTATTGAAATGTTTGGAGACTGAAAGAGAGCCTGTAATTTTTGTTATAAAGCTGGTCTCTAAACCAGTCTCCAAGGCGACGACCTTTCTCGACCTTTGGATCGTTTGGTAACCATTACATGCAACGTGTTCATAGTTTTTAAACATATTTCTCCCTACGCCGCACACATCGCACCGTTTACATTCAGACTGACAGGGTTTTCCCGGTACGTCACTTCTATAAAATTTGTCTTCACACGTGATCTTGGAATCTCTTGTCTTGGTGCAAGGCTCTACAGTAATCTCATCACCATTAACTATGAATGTAAATCCTAGTCATCTTTTGAATTTTAAAAGTATATTTTGCCAGCTGAATTGCCGTAATCACATAGTAAAATGTATTATTTAAATTTTAAAGGAAGAAACTATAAACACAACAGAACAACAACAAAAAATCGAGGCTAAAATTGAGAGTTAACATTTTAAATGAATCTTTTGAAAAGGCTGATTGAGATGAGCATTTTGAAAAGGCTGATTGAGTAGAGCAGATGGCATGCAGCTATATAAACATACCAATCCCTCTCTTGTAAATTCTGCTATCCACACCTTTCAGGACTACATTGGTTTCTCACACAGCTGACGGCCTGCAGAGCCTCGTATCCAGCCTATCCGCTGCCTGCAAAGAGTTTGGCCTGACAATTAGCCTAAAGAAAACATTATGGCACAGGGCGCTGACTCCCTCCCCACTATCACCATCGACGACTACGACTTTGATACTTTTGACAGATTCTCATATCTGGGATCCAACATATCGAGCAAACTCTCAATGGAGGATGAGATAAATGGAAGGATAGGGAATGCCGCAACTGTTATGGCCAGACTGAAGAAAAGAGTCTGATCAAACGCCAAACTCACAACAAGAACTAAGCTGCAGGTGTACCAGGCCTGCGTACTGAGCACACTTCTGTATCGATGCGAGTCGTGGACCACATACTCTAACCACGAAAGAAGGCTCAATGGCTTCCACCTCAGATGCCTGCGCCACATCCTTGACATTAAATTGCAAGACAAAGTCCCCAACACGGATGTCCTTCGCAAACAAACATGTGTAGCGTTAATCTAAACACAATTATCTGTTCATTTCTAATAGTTTAATGAAACCGTTGCTCAAATTTTCCTTGGTCCGAGCCTTACCATAATCTACTAGAACTTTGAACGTTTTAATGAAGTATTTAAATAATTAAATTTAAATAAGAAATAATTGTTTGCTTAATATTATCGGATGAAATTTATTAGAAATGAATATGCCATGTTATCAGTACGATTAAACACTCAGTTTACTTGAGGGACACAGTTTAATCTTTGTATTGTACCTATTTATAGGGCCCAATGTGTTGTCAAAAAGTATTATCTGATCTTAGTATGATTTGTCAAAATGAAAAGATATTTAAGAAAGGTAACTAAGGAAATATTATTGTTTTGTTCACTTTTATATTTTTATCTCCCTTGACAAAATAATATAAATTTTTTTTTGGTCATTACTTAAGAATTATTTTTGTATTTTTTAAAATTTTAAATTAATTCTCATTCTCTCTCTCTCTCTCTCTCTCTCTCTCTCTCTCTCTCTCTCTCTCTCTCTCTCTCTCTCTCTCTCTCTCTCTCTCTCTCTCTCTCTCTCTC